AGAAGAACCGTATTCCTAGGGTTCGAAGGCCCTGTCAGCAAGTGAGGCTGCGTGCCCGCTAGAATAAAGACTTTAGTATACCGGCTTTCTATATAAAATAGGAAAGGTGTCCCCGAGGCAATCGAACTTTAACCATAAGGCGAGCAATTCGACGGAGGCTCGGCCAAGACGTGATCGACCATGACAGCTGAGCGGAGATGGCTCCGTAGCATTCTGGTCGATCATAATGCAGAGCTTTAGAGTCCGGCTGTTGATAGCGGACGCTGAGGAACTGTGCCAACGTCGAAGCGCGTCTAGAAGTATGTGGCCGGCGTTATTTTCGTGAATTATAGGCGAGGTGTTGCGCGGCTGTCAACGTGTCGCGTTCGCTCTCCTGAAGATCACCCAGTGAGTTTACCAAAGCGGACACTAGCCAACGTGATGTTGATCTCCAGAGGTTCGGTATGGGGCTCCGCCATGTCGGGCAGACAGCGTGGCGACAAGACTGGACGTTCGAGATGCGCTAGGAAACGTGGTGACTGCCAAGCTAACATGGGCTTGGTGTTGAAGAGTGGTGTGAGGGCCTCAGCAAACTCAAAGTAGGGGAAAACGTTCATCTCAACGATGTGCTGGTGTGAATTCAAAGTGATGCGATTGGTCGTTTGAGCTCGAGCGCAACCACACCCAGGCTTCGGGCGGCGACGGTCATATCATGAACTTCCTAACCTCCAGTGGCCTACTCAAGGTTTGACCAAGGCGCCCTTACTCTTGGAGATGCTTTTCCCTCTAGACGATGAGCAGTCTCAGGTGTGGTTGTACGACTAGCTTATATCCGAGTATCTGCCCGTAGCTAGCTCTTGAGAAAGCGAGTGCGGAGACCACATAGCCGGGAACGGTCTCGCGTACGCTTTCAAAGCAATTCGCCGGTATACGGAGTACGGTGCGTTGTCGTTGCATAAGAACGAAGTTGTTGCATATGCGCAAGGATGAATGACCGTATCATGCGAAAGAACTGCCGTGGTGTCGATAGTTGCTCATATGGCTAAGGCGCAGGACGTGATAGTCGCTAGCGTCGAATCGAGCATTGAACGAAGAACCCACATAGAAGGTGGGAATGTATTCTGCGATGTGACATGTCCAGTCTGGCGGGCCTGGCGTATCGTTTGAGCTGGCGAAGGATCTGCTATACGCCCGGCATCTGTGTCTTTGTTACCTCGGTGAAGCCTGACCAGATGGAGGTTGCACCACTGTGTCGCCGTGGCGCAGACTGCAGGGCTGTGATGCAGCCATAGTCGTACACCCTTCTCCAAGAGTCCCGGAGATGCCGCAGTACAATGATTGTCGATGTAGTGAGACAAGTGGGGTTGCAATGCTGACATTCATGGCCCAACCCCAACGTGGGGGCACTGTGTAGTCGCTACTATAGGCAGGAAGTACCAGAGCTGCGCAACATTGATACGGCCCTGCGATGTTGGTACTCGTGCTTTGATAACGAGGTGGTAATGTCGGTCATGTCCGCTGCCACCTACTATGAGAGGCTAGCAGTAGTGTCGAGGAGTGCTGGCCTGTATCGTGAGGACGGTGGAAGAGACGATGAGGTGGTGGAGCTTGATATCGCGCCGCCGGCGCATGTCACCAGGGCCAATCAGGGCGCGGTGGTGGTCGAGGTGAAGGACGCGCGGGGTTTTGGAGGTCTTGCTATCTGTGCGCAGCATGGCACTGCAATTGGCAGGCGCGCACCGCAAAGTCCCAGGGTGGAAGTTGCGATTAAGCGAGCCAAGACTAGCGAGGGGGAAGGCACGATGCAAGCCTCGCACGAGCGTTCACGAACGGATGAAGCGCCGTTCGCCTGTGCAGCGGCGCAAACACCAACTACTGATCACCATGTTATCCCCGACTTCTTGATAGCCGGCCCTCCGCCAAATCGATCGGTTGATGTCCGGTACGTTTCAGATACACTACACTACCGCGAACAATTTAGCCAGAATACATGACTGAACTCTGCGCACGACCAAGGCGACTCGCATCCTCAGGCCTAAGGGCTGGAGAATCGGAGGGCATTATTACCGACGACCTGGTCTAAAAGCGTCAAATCGATATTACCCTCCAATGACGTGCAAAGCTAACACAGGCTGTCGGCACCGGCAGGATGCAGTGCTGACCGCGCGAACACGATGAGTAGCGGACACATGGAAGTCAAGAAAAATGGAGAACGTGGGATAGCTTTCCCTGCTTCTTGGGCGGCGGAGGCGTACTGGGAAAAAGAAATATCCTACGCCTCACCATAGACGCGCCACTACGGACCGGTGGGGGGAGAGTCCCGGGAGACGCTGCGCAGGTGCCGTCGGGAAATAGCAAGCCTGCTGGAAACCGTCTGACCACCGAAAATTCGAGACGAATTAATAGGCCCGAAGTGCTTTTGTATCAGATCGGTCTTCCACGTGCAATCGCCTGTCTTGGACAACGCCCGTACTATTGGTGTGCAAGTCATGCAGCGACCGTAGCCAGAGCGCTGGGTCAGGCCTCATGCGCATTAACCGACGACCGGCGGCCATCACGTACTGCAATCCAGCTTGGCCAGTGACATGCTCGCTTGACCACGCTTGTGCAACGCAACTGTGGAATCGCTGATTATCCTCAATCGCGATGACGCGAGTGGAGATTAGTCGAGCCTTTGCCAGGGCCTTGCTAGCGAGATGAACACTGTGGAGAAGGACGCGCCTTCGCAGCCAATTTGTCGCAGGATAGCATACCATGACAGCACCAGCAGTTCACGTCGGCGTCATCCCTGCACCACCCTTCGAGACCTCTCCAACGACCGCGAGCATCGGGGGATCATCGCAGCGGGCTTTCGCTACTGGGCGGTCACGTCACGACGTCTGCGTATTGGGCCCTCATCTGCGCAAACCAAACCCTACCAGTCTCCAGTCTGCGTCAGCTCTCTCGCTCAGGCACTTCGGCCCTGTCTCCATTGAGGCCTTTATCGCCGTCCTCATCATCTTAGATCCGGACACTGTTGAATCTCACCCTGGCTCAACCACGCTTCCCCGGCGACGTTCGTACGCACAGAGCCATGCTAAATTAACCTCACAGCTTGCATACTCCTTAGCATACTGCCTTGTATAGGCCCCTTACATACGTACCAGAAATCGGGGTCAGGCAAGACATTACATTCGTCTCTTCACCAATCCAAGGCCATCCACATGGTGGCTTGACTAGACTTTCACACAAGACGATGCAAGTGGATCGCGCCGCCGCTGACGCTAGGCGGCTACCGCTGGCTGTCATCGCATCCCACCGTCGAGACGTGACAGGCAAAGCATCCCAAACAGCGACTGTGCGAAGGGTCCGAGCCATCAAAGTCATGACGCTCGGACTTTGCTGGCCTGCACACCCATCCATCCCGCACATCACTTGGTCCAAGCGGGCCCACCAACAGCAACCTGGTCGCTTGGCCTCTAGAAGATGATCTTGTGCTTGTGAGGAAGGAGGATTGATGAACCCTGTGAAATCCTCTGGTGCGAAGAGGCGCTCCAACGCAGCAGTCCGGTTGCGTAGTAGCGTGGATATACTTCGCCACTTTTAATCATCCACTTGTTCAACCAAACAGCGTCGTCTAAATTTCTATATTCGGTCCCTACTTCTTTTCGTATGTATGCAGGCTTTTGCTTTTGGCGCCTGTTGTCCTGAAGATTGCAATGCGCCCCCGCTAACGAACGGCCGTGGTAACGACTAGCTGCCTTGAGCTGTCACTGTCGGTGCGCAACTGCTTCACCATCGCTTCTGCTACTTGGTTATTTACCTGGTTCTTGACTATTACTACCTCTTGGCCCCTGCTGTCAGTGCGCCTCCGAAGCATTGATTAGATCGAGAATCCCATGGCACGGTAGATCAGCAAGTGTCCCGTCGACCGCTCCGCAAGCAAGATCTTGTAGTGCCGGCTCCAGCGTTTGAGAAGTCGCCTCGTTTGACATCCCAGGTATGTACACTGTTTAGCTTCCTGTCCATCATGGATCTTTGTGGGGCCTTGTTGAACTTTAAACATTAAATGCTTATACCCTCAGGTCCTTCAATGCACTACGTATTGCCGCGTCTTGATATTCGGGTCTTGCGACAACAGTGCGCCTCACATGGCTGTGGGTACAGAACGCCGCGCGAAGAAGACGGCAGCTAGATTAGAGCACTCGTTGCTTTTACAGCCCCTTCAGGACGCCATGTCATTCAACCCCCCGAACCATAACACTGGGTTTGGTCGTTCCCATGCCGCCGACACTGCTTCTACACCAAGCCCCACAGATCGACTCGAGTCCGCCCATGATTCTGCGACCGGTCAGGAACCCGCTACCCAACCTCACCAACATTCGAATAAGAAGAGACGCTCCTCAAAGAGCAAAGTACCGGGAGAGCTCCGCAAGTCCTCATCAACTCCACACATGCGCCACTTAGCACTTGGAAACCCCGGTGACCTGTCGCCAACAAGTAACAAACCGAGGAACAAGCTAGGATACCATAGAACCTCAGTTGCTTGTGGTAAGTGAACAAACAGCGCATTCTGGTGTCGTTCTCGATCACTGACTGTTGCGAACAGGGCATTGCAGGCGCAGAAAGATACGATGTCTTTTAGCTCCCGACGATCCCGCAGGCCGTTGCTCCAACTGCATTCGGCTGAAAAAGGAATGCAACTTCTACCCAGTTGAGCATAACCCTGATATGCCGCAGCCCCAATCTATCTCGTCGAAGTCGGGTAGTGCAGTTCAACCAGCTACACCTGTCTCTACTTCACCTCGACACCCTTTGTCCTCCTCAGGCGATGCCATGGAGTTCCGTACACCATTCTCTGGACCTGCGTCGAACGGGCAACCTCCAAGCTTCGGATATCATGGCGACCACGACAGTGATCCTCACCATGCATCTGTCACCAGTGGCCGTAGGTTTAATGCTGCCTCAGGTCCGCATTCGCTGACGAACAAAGTCCCAGTACAGCACCCTCCTTACCCTTATCCTCCTCCAATAGAAACCCAATGGCCACCAACGAACAGTTTCCTACCTTCATCCACCGTAGGCGAAAGCCCTACGTGGCGCAATTCACCTTCAACCGCAAACTCAGCGTACGGGAGCGAATCAAACGTTTCAGGTGGTCATACACCAGCCGCGATGAGTACGAGCTCGACCATGTCATACGGTCACCAGGACGGCCACTGGAGCCAGCAACCATCGTTTCAACCACCATCACGCTCGATGTCATACGGAAATATTGAAGGACTTCCGCAACAATATCCAGGCCAAGGTCTCGGTATCCAACACGAAAACTACCGGAGAACTTCTCCGTATCCATATCCGACCTCGATAGACACAAATCCTTCCACAATCCACGCGACCACGATAGGCGCATCCACAGCGGCGCCATTATCTGCACCCGTTGTTCCGAACCACTCGTATTATCCGGCTCCCTGGTCATCATACGACGCCATGCCCAACCATGGACCACCAATGCCTACAGCTGGGCGTTCTATGAGTGCGCAGTGGTATGGGGAGCCAGGACATCTCGACCGGGTACAAGAAGAGGTGACTCCACCAATGGCATACCATCACCAAGGGCTACCGCAATTCTACTCCGGAGCATAGTTAACTACCAAGCGCTTAGCGGTTACTACAGTACAACTTTCGCGCGGTTCCACAACCTCCAAATTTCGATCTCACACTCTGTATGGTGGCCAATGGCATGGGTCAGGGAACACTTTGGCGACAGCTCCGATGTGAGCGGTCTTATCAAAATCATCATTTCCGGAGTTAGAGGCGCGACACGACTGGAATTACGATACATGGTTTGGAGATCATGCTTTTCCAATGGACCAATAAGTGATCTTGGGCGTTACTAGCATTGCAAGTTTTTGATTTTCAGCTTCACAAGGACTCCATAACGGGGCGTCATTCTTCCAGGTTCATTCAGGTTTTGCTTGGGCAGCCTTCATGTCCCAATTTCGGCGGTTTCGTTTCACACTTCCAATCAGCATCTCACAGCCACTATCACATGTACAAACAACGCCGATTGGAGGATCATTTAGAGAGATGCTACATGTAGCTTTCCGAACACTTGGAAAGCATATTCCCCGAATTCGATACCCAGATAGTAACACATCGCTACTTCACTACCTGAGCACCTCGGCACGTTTGTGACACCTGTTTTCTGTCGTTCACGGTATGGCGTCCCCGCAACTACAGCAAGCATACGTTACCCACATGGTTTCACGGGGACCGTGGGGTCACCAATGCGAAACCGACTTGTCAAATACCACCGGGTACTTTGCAAGTCATAATTATGTTCAGAACATGGTACTTCCTGGTACCAATGAAAGTATTGTTCTGGAAGGTGGCATGGCTGTCTTGGCTTTGGCCTGAGGCACACACGCAATGCTCGGCGAAGGCAAGGCGCTCCGAAGTAAAACTACGGTTGAACGGAATATTCCCAAACACCTACACTTACATCATGCTTACGAAACTCACATGATCAGTAATCTTTAGACAACCCCATTTTATATACCTTTTCTACGCCAATACCAGCAATGCAATGGGTACAACTATCAGCGTGTCAATCAGACAATGCATGAAGGTCACGGACCGGCTGTTAGCAAATGGCATCGCACTGAAGCCTCATTACACGCGCGAAGATGAAGCCACGCAACTAGCCGTACCATAGCATCTTCGTACCTGCGTCTACGAGGTACGATCTATAAAACCGGTTCTATGACTTCGGTCGTTCAGCCTTGGAAAGAGCCTTGGATAAAGTCAAAAGTCAACCGTCGTCAGCAAACCCTAATGACGTTTGACCTTTGTGCAAGCGAAGCATGTATCCCAGGACCCGGAATAAATTCGCTTCCCAGCCCAAACCTGCGGACATTGCGCAGACGCCCAGGCCTCCTGTCCAGACTTCTTGAGACTGTCGTATGCAACTTGGAATACGTACCCGAACCTCGGTCATTCAAGGTGGCAGTCGATCCACTTTTTCTCGTCGGTTCTCTACGATACTGGGTAAAGCTCGGACCGTGATTAATCCTCCTTCAATTCCGGACCATGAGACAATGGCTGCGGAGGGAACGGAAATTGCTTTTGCCTTTGGCTCCCAGTTTTGCTGGACCAGGACTCGACTTTTTCCCCGCTACCACACAGCCGGGTAGGAGGCCCGTCGACGTTTGCTCCGGAATGACCCTTGATCTTTTCCGACCATGTTCTTGCTGATCGCACTTGGCTGAATCATGGGCCAAAGCCTCGGTTGTTAATCCTCTCGGCGCTCTTACCACAAATGTGGAGGTGTGCCTGTACGGACTAAATCGAACAAAGAGAATGTGGGTTCAGCGCGTGGACACGACGTGAAGAGGTGCGTTTTTCTGCTTATTCCCAGCAGCGGCTACTGCATGGGCTCAAGGGTCTCTGTGGAGAGGCGTGCGTAAAAATCGCTAGTTCGCAACAACCACGTTAGTCGAATTCAGCGTAGTTACGTACACGAGCTGGTGGTCACCACGTTTACAAGTTTCAGCGACATTCTCGAACCACTCGGCAGCCGCAAACTTCATGCGCGCAGACATTCAAAGTTACACACATGTACGCGCAAGCCACTGCAGCCCTATGCGCGAACGACATACTGGCAGCACGATGTTACATCATTTGGTGACACAAGTTCAGGGTTTCTCGAAGGATTCAGAGGCGTGTCTAGGCATCCAATCGCGCATTTCTCCCATGCAGGATGCTGGGGCACAAGAGGTTTGTCCTGTCACAGTTAGGCGTGCTGGCGGGATGTCTTCCGGCAGTAGTACTGTATCCACACAGATCCTCAGCATCATCATCATCGGTCTGCACACCAGCTTGTTTTCATCACAGTCCACCACGATTACCAGCTTCTTAGCGTCGCAAAAGCCGGCCGTTGCCGTATGACAGTTATCGGCATCTAACCCCTGCAACGGAAGGTTGCAACGAGTGTCGCAATCGCGTTCGTGCGCGTCTGCAGGGCAAAGCTGAAGGAACATGCACGCAAGGTTGGGAACGCTACCTTCCCCATCGCTCGACTGACGCATACCCAACCGCAAGAGTCACTGGCCTGTTACTCATGGAAAATTCACGCGTGTAGAGCCGCGGAACTGAACCCTGTCAGATCCGCCTATCCGTGCTTCCTGTCAGTCATTGAGCGCGCACCGTACCTCCCGTTCCGCTGGGTTTTGACGCGGTTTCGACGATCCAGGCCTCCATTGCGAACATCAAGCATAAACGCCTGCAACCACCCTGGCGGCCATGTACGCCTAACGGATTTTCGAGACATACAACGAGTCGGAAAGCATGCAGCCACTACATTTTCACACACCACCCAATAGCCTTTCCCTCGCGTCTCTGACCCAACCACCACGACTGTCAAACAATCTAAACTGCATACCAACAAAGCAGCGTGACTTGCACGCAATGCGCTCATGCTGCACCGCGCCTCGAGGCCACAGCTGCAGCATTAGCCGTCCATCTTTTAAAGTCCACTTTAACATCCTTCCATCCGATCCGGGCAGGATTTCCGAGCTACGCCCCAATCGAACGTATAGATGAACAGCACACACGACCGGCATTAGGCAAGCAACTCAAAGACTCTGTTCGCTGGGTCCGCTGCAAACGCATCATGCGCGGTCGGACCTCTCTCGCGTTTTTGCTGCTCGTGTGTCATCACATATAGGCAGCGCGTGCTGCACTCCAGACTCTTGGCTTCACGCATGGCGCTATTGCGCAAACTTACATCCGCGCGCTATGGCATCGACGCTTTGGTTGCATATACGGACTGGCGGTTTGTGGAGTACCTGCATGCCTGTTCACATAGCTATAGGCGGGCAGGGCTATGTTGTGCATGCGCCTTCCCATTATAACATGGCTGAACCATAGGGTAGGTAAGATGGACGGTATGCGAGTCATTTCGGCGGATGGAAGCCTTCCCGGTGTCAGTGGATGCTGTGGGTCGGTCGACATATGTACTCATGAAGAGTGAAGCTGTGTCTTGCATCGCATCATGCAAGACTACTACGAGATAGGAAGACCACGATGACCTTCCTCTAGCTTATCCCTCAAGACGGATATCCGCGCAACTTCCCCGTAGCCCCCCTAACCACCTACGTGTCTCTCTACTCCGGAGTAACCAACCCCGATAAAGACCTTCCCTTACGCCTACAATTCCAAAAAGACTCCAGCAAAAGACGGTCCGAATAGCAAGCGGAACTAGTACATGTCAAATAGTGCTTGATGTGGGTTGCAGACTAGATGCTCTTCCACCGGCTGCTCTGCCACAGTAACCGGTGCGGCGTGCCCTAGGTTTGAGCTAGCTGCTGGCTGCCTACTGTACGCCTGCTGATCACTACAGATGCGTAAAGGCTTGTTTGGATGTTGAAACAGAGTCTGGAGCTAGGAGAGTGCCGGTAGCTTACATGCGTGTTCGCTAAGGTGTCTTGGTGTGATTGAGAGTATTCATGCGCGTGGGGAGATGTGCCCTATCAACACGATGGGGATGGTCACTGAGGATGATGCTAGGGATTGTAGGCGCAGTGTCTCGTACAGCTTTGGAGAGGCTTGAAGTAAAGATACGTAGGTATCATGCTGAAGTGAGACTTTGTGGTGATTAGACCTTGGTGCACGCGCATGGCTAATATCATCGAAAGCCGATCGGACGCGAGAAGACATTGTGAGATGGGGACTTACATTGGCGTGGAGGGCTTACCGAGAAGTGTACATTGCGTAGTGTATACTTCGATCATATCTCATGGCTCGAAGGTAGTTGCAAGTCCGTATTTATTGTAGCGCACTGTTCGTACAAGACCCGCGCGTTTTATCATCTTCATGTGTGAAACGAGAAGAATGATGTGTAAAAGAGATACACGGAAGCCATGTTGTGTCCATCTAGAGACTGAGATATAGATGATGTCTTTGCTCACCTGCGGCTATCTCAACTGTCAATGCACGTTACTGCCCTGCAGCATCTATATTCTATCGCAACGAGCGGAAACGCTGTGTTCCTCGTGTCTTTTCCCATGGCTACTGATTCCAGCAGCTTGCCATCTTGTTGGCACGAGGATCCTGCTCCGAGACCATCCCATCAAAAGTTACAGCGCACGAAAATGAAGTATCAGCAATCGAAAATTGTTGCAAGCTTCAAAGAGTCTTCCTTTGATACATGTAGAAGCTATGAGCATACCAGGGAAGGGGTGCGTCCGTTGAAGTGAAGATAAGCTCTTACCAAATT